CAACCTTAGTGTGTCTACTGAAGGTGTGACATGACCAACATTAAATGCAAAGAGTGAGGCAGTGTTACAATCACTAGTCTGAGTTATTTTCAGTGCACTATGAAAGTTGAAGATTACATGAAATGAAGAGGCAGATACAATAACAATGTGGACAACAGCAGTTAGGAGTGTGTATATTATTATCACACTGGCTGATTCCCACCAAGGCAGGGTGGCCCGAAAAAGAAAAACTTTCACCATCATTCACTCCATCACTGTCTTGCCAGAAGGGTGCTTTACACTACAGTTTTTAAACTGCAACATTAACACCCCTCCTTCAGAGTGCAGGCACTGTACTTCCCATCTCCAGGACTCAAGTCCGGCCTGCCGGTTTCCCTGAACCCCTTCATAAATGTTACTGTTGTGAAATGAACTGACAGTAGCAGTTGCCCTTGGATCACATAATCAGGATAAAATAGCAGCATATGCTACCCCATCAAAGGATTTGAAGCCATTGGCATACATAGTGAAGTGCCGCAACTTCCACCCCAGTCCCACCTTAGGGTGGACAAACCACCAGACGATGCTGTATTGTCTGTTCCCTCAGGTAGAGGCTCGGAGTGGACAAAAGTTTGAGAAAATAGAGAACAAATAACAAGGGAAAATTGCTAGAGTATGAGAGAATAGAAGGTAGCTCTCTATTCTCTTGGAAGTATGCTGCCACCACCTGCTCTTTTAATAGTGGAAGAGATAACTATAGGCATAGGAGAAGAGGGGAAAACATGGAGTTTGGGTTAGAGCAGGAGAAAACCAGGTTAGTGTGTGTACGCAAGAGGGAGATTATTTCCCACTAAAAGTAAGCCTTAGACAGGGATGTGTGATGTCACCATGGTTGTTCAATATATTTGTAGATGGAGTTGTAAGAGAAGTGAATGCTCAGGTGTTGGCAAGAGGTGTGGGATTAAAAGATAAAGAATCTAACATAAAGTGGGAGTTGTCACAGTTGCTCTTTGCCGATGACAGTGTGCTTTTGGGAGATTCTGAAGAGAAGTTGCAGATGTTGGTTGATGAGTTTGGTAGGGTATATAAAAGAGGAAAATTGAAATTGAACATAGGAAAGAGTAAGGTGATGGGGATTACCAAAAAATTAGGCAAGGGAAGACTGGATATCAGATTGGCAGGAGAGAGTATGGAGGAGTGAATGTATTCAGATATCTGGGAGTGGATGTGTCAGCAGTTGGGTATATGAAAGATGAGGTGAATCATAGAATTGATGAGGGGAAAAAGGTGAGTGGTGCACTGAGGAGTCTGTGTAGACAAAGAACTTTATCCAGGAAAGCAAAGAGGGGAATGTATGAGAGTATACGTAGTTATACCAACACTCCTGCATGAGTGTGTTTACCTGGAGAGGGTTTCGGGGGTCAACGCCCCCGTGGCCCAGTCTGAGACCAGGCCTCATGGTGGATCGGGGTCTGATCAACCAGGTTGTTACTGCTGGTCGCATGCAAGCTGACATATGAACCACAGACCGGCTGGTCAGGTCTATTGGTAATCCCCCTTATGTATGCTGGGAGGCAATTGAATAGTCTTGAGCCCCGGACACTTATTGTGTTGTCTCTCAGTGTACTCGTGGTGCCCCTGCTTTTCATCAGGGGAATGTTGCATCTCTTGCCGAGTCTTTTGCTTTCATATGGAGTGATTTTCATGTGCAGGTTTGGTACCAATCCCTCCAGGACCTTCCAAGTGTATATTATCATGTATCTCTCTCGCCTGTGTTCGAGGGAATACAGATCAAGGACCTTGAATCGTTCCCAGTAGTTTAGGTGCCTTATCGCACCTGTGTGTGCCATGAAAGTTCTTTGTACACTTTCCAGGTCTGCAAAGTCGCCAGCCTTGAAGGGGGCCGTTAGTGTACAGCAGTATTTCAGCCTAGAGAGCACAAGCGATTTGAAGAGAATCATCGTGGGCTTGACGTCCCTAGTTTTGAAGGTTCTCATTTTCCATCCTATCATTTTCCTAGCGGATGAGGCTGATACATTGTTGTGGTCTTTGAAGATGAGATCCTCTGACATTATCACTCCCAGGTCCTTCACATTGCTTTTCCGCTCTATTGTGTGGTTAGAATTTGTGGTATACCCTGACACATTTTTAATTTCTTCAAGTTTTCCATATCTGAGTACATAGTTGAAATTTCTCCTCACTGAACTTCATATTGTTTTGAGTGGCCCATTTGAAGATTTGGTTGACGTCCGCTTGAAGTCTTGCGGTGTCTTCGATGGAGGTCACTGCCATGGTGATCCAGGTGTCATCTGCAGAGGAAGACACGTAGCTATGGCTTACATCTCTGTCTATGTCAGAAATGAGGATGAGGAATAGAATGGGAGCGAGTACTGTGCCTTATGGAGCTGAGCTTTTTACCGTGGCTGCCTGGGATTTTACTCTGTTTACTATTACTCTTTGTGTTCTATTTGTCAGGAAATTGTAGATCCATCTACCAACTTTTTCTATTATTCCTTTATCCCGCATTTTGTGTGCTAATACACCATGGTCACACTTGTCAAAAGCTTTTGCAAAGTCTGTGTATACTACATCTGTATTTTGTTTATACTCTACAGCATCCAGGACCTTGTCATAGTGGTCCAGTAGCTGGGACAGGCAGGAGCAACTTCCAACTCGAACAGTCGCCGTCTAGTTGAATCCTCTCTAATACACAACTTTCCTTGTATGAATCTTAGCCCTGGCTTCGTCTCTGTAGATGCCTTCCTCTCCCACTACATTGTAAAATGCTCCAAACTTCAGAACACCCGTAACTTAACCTGACTCCTCATTTTTTCTTTTTCTTTTTCTTCTTCTCCCTCTTCCCCTTTCCTCTTTCCTTTTTCTCCTCTGGGTTGTCTTTCTTCCTTCTGTCTTGTGTTTCTGTTCCTTCTTTATTTATTTTGCCACTTCCCCTTTCACCCACCTCTGTGCACTTGCTCTCCCTCTGTGGGCACCTAGCTCCCTTGCAGTGCTCACCTTTCTTTGTATTTGACTGGCTCCTCCTCCTTATTCCCCACTACTACCACTACCACTACTACTACTACTACTACCACCTCCACCTCTTCCTGCCTATATATAGCCATCCTGCTCCAATTCTGGTTAGTGTGACTTTGTAAATGGTCCAAGTCGGACCGAAACGTCGTCGTAAGCTTCTTTTATGTGCGGGTTATTTGTGTATTGTTCCAGTCACGGTATTGTGCCTTTTTTTGTTATTTAGGAGCGACCTGTTCTAAACCCGTGTTGCCCTGGGTTGTGTAACTGATGGGTATCTAGGTGGTTGGCTATCTTGCTTCTTAGAACCCTCTCAAAGATTTTTATATGGGATGTTAGTGCTAGCTGTCTGTAGTTCTTTGCAATTGCTTTACTGCCACCTTTGTGGAGTGGGGCTATGTCTATTGTTTTTAGTATGTGTGGGATGACCCGTGGCCTTGCCCTTTCCATAAAATGCTGAAGGTACATGATAGGGGCTTCTTGCAATTCTTGTTGACCACAGAGTTCCACGAGTCTGGGCCTGGGGCAGAGTGCATGGGCATGTCACTAATTGCATTTTCAAAGTCTTGTGGAGTTAGATTAATATCCGAGATTTTTGGGATGACCAAATTTTGGGTTTCATTCATAAAGAATTTATTTGGATTCTTGAGGCATGGGTGGTGAATGCTACAAAAAGGAGAAGGCTGGAGGCAATGGAGATGTCATGTCTGAGGGGCAATGTGTGGTGTGAATATAATGCAGGGAATCCGTAGTTTGGAGATTAGGAGGTACAGGATTACCAAAACTATTATCCAGAGGGGTTACTGAGATGGCTTGGACATGTAGAGAGGCTGGAATGAAATAGAATGACTTCAAAAGTGTATAAATCTGTAGTGGAGGGAAGGCAGGGTAGGGGCCTAGGAAAGGTTGGAGGGAGGGGGTAAAGGAGGTTTTGTATGCGAAGGGCTTGGACTTCCAGCAAGCGTGCGTGAGCACGTTAAATAGGAGCAAATGGAGTCAAATGGTTTTTAGGACTTGACATGCTGTTGCAGTGTAAGCAAGGTAACATTTATGAAATGGTTCAGGGAAACCAGCAGGTCAGACTTGATTCTTGGAGATGGGAAGTACAGTGCTGGCACTCTGAAGGAGGGGTATTAATGTTGCAGTTTTATAACTGTAGTGTAAAGCACCCCTCTGGCAAGACAGTGATGGAGTGAATGAGGATGGAAGTTTTTCTTTTTTGGGCCACCCTGCCTTGGTGGGAAACAGTCGAAATGTTAATAAAAAAAAATCAGAATATTTACACCATTCTTCACACGATCATGCAAAATACTGAAAACAGATTACTAACATGAAGCTAAATATAAAAAAATTGAATAATGGTTTAGTATCTGTATGTGTTTAAAGTTAGGAACCAGCTCTATCAGTAAATATTCAGAGTAAAATCAAATACACATTTTAATGTGTGTGAAAACACTGAACTTTGATAGATTAATATTTTCAGTAAGAACAATGTAATAAAAATTTACCAGTTAATAAATAATAAAAATTATGATTACTGTACCACTACATAAAAACATATGGTGATATATAAATAAATTATTGACACAAGACAGCAGAAGTTGAATGGCCTAAATTTATATTTCAGGGAAAATTTATATTCTTACCATTACTGAATGAATATTTCACGCAAGACTAACATTTTCGTTATTTGCTTTTTCAAAGCAGCTTTCTATTCCTACATCACTCAGGTACTTCTTTATATATTGCTCATCTTTCATCTCAATATGACTTAATATTATCTTACTCGTCACTAATTTCTATTAATTTTACTTGTATATAGGGCTGAAATTTTCTCACAACCCTGAGGTCTCTTACAAGGCTTTGGTACTCTTTAAATCTCACTCTACTGCTTACAACAACCTTATTAAAAGTACAATATATAATACAATATGCACACCACAGCCTGTACCATAATAAACAACAAAGAAATAAAGATAAACAATAGTATATACATTTTAATTTTTATTTGTCATTTCTTAAAATGAAAGCAGTGAATACAAATAACTCCTGCATTAACTTCAAGTTAGAAAATACATTAATTGTATAAGGTTGAAACACTGCAAATCAACAGAGCACTCTTCTGTACTACTTACCACATACACTGTATGTATCAATATGATGAACAAGAATGATCTGTACAAAAGCTTATTCTGATTCCTTGAATTCATTTTAGTGTGCCGTTAATTTCACATTTTTATTTTACATAAACACTGAGAATATGAGCAAAGAGAAACTAACATTGTATAAATAAATATAATTTATATATTTGTTTCCTATATAAGGATATTAATACTGTATACAATGTAATAGCATGCTAAACTTTCTGGAGGTAATTAGCAGGGCAGAAACCCTGTTTGTTGTGAAGTTTGCAGGTCCACCAGCCAGACTCGTCTGAAACAGGGCATAACATCTATTTAATGATTTAGAACAATGCTTGTGACTGTACATAGTGTACAAGTAGAATGTGATTGAAAACAAAAAGTTTAAAGTTTACATGACCTAATATTGAGATTTTTAACAACAGCTAATACTGTGGTGCCCACATAATGTTGACATTACCATGAATGTTGTTTATGTCTTACCAATATTGTAGTACGTATACACAATGTTGACAATACATGAACACTGTCTCTCTCTCTCTCTCTCTCTCTCTCATACTAATACTGTGGTACATACATAATGCCAACATTACCATGACTGTCATGTGCAACTTACCAATACTGTGATGAACACAATGCTGACATCTGCCTGAAATATTGTGCATACTATGGGATATCTAATTATTGTATACAGTGGGCCCCTGGATTACGTAATTAATCCGTTCAAGAGAGAGTGACTTGTCCCGAATCTGACTTATTCCGAATTAATTTTCCCCATCAGAAATAATGGAAATCCAATTAATCCATTTCAGACACCCAAAAGTATTAAAAAAATGTTTTCTACATGAAATATACATTTACCTACACAGAAAACAATGATACATGAAGAATAAAACAATAATAGCATCACATTTACAATTATTGATGACATGGTGATGTATGGAAGATGGGAGAAAGGGAGAGGATGGGGGAGTTTACAATTGTCTGGAAGGGAAATCCCCTTCCATAAAGACTTTATGCACCAAGTCCTTATCCTGGGTTACTTCCCTTTGTTTTTTTAATTCCACTACAATCAGCTTGAGAGTCACTGGACCCCTGTTGCTCAAGAAAGTGTTCCAGAGAGGTCTGTTTCTGGCGTATGTTAGAAATTGTGTTGGGAGACAGGACAAGATAGTCCTTTAATATGACACTAATATCAGCTCTACAGCTTATTTATCTAGCACAATTCATCTAATATGAGATAATAAACAATATTAATAATATAGAAACATGATATATACTCAAGAATGAATAAAATATAGCATTAAGAATGTCATGAGTGGTGGTGTGTTTGTTATTAGGTGTATAAGGGCCTTACATAGTGGTGGTGAAGGCAGCAGCAAGAGGCAGCAGAGACAGCAGTCTTGTCAGTCATCTTATATACCTCCAAAAATGAGTTTTGTGCTGTCCTCTTTCTATCGATTAATTGCTTAATTTACTTGCTACACTGTTAGTGTTAATGCAGCCTTTATCGACTACTGCTGCTTTAGTATCGTACATATTGCAGAATCACTGAAAAAACCACATTCTCCCCTCTCTCTCAGCCCTTTACCAAAGGGCTGGCTGGCACTAGGAACTTTCTTTGGGCCCATGGTGGCTTATTTAGCAGTTACAAGCACTAAAAAGAATGGAATAATACAAAATGTATTGTATGAACTGGTGAGATTGTCCTCACTGGCTGGTAAACAATGGCACATTGGCTGTACATGGAGTGTCGGGGTCTCTCAGGCCACGCAGACACATTCCGGATAAATGACTTATACCGAGTTCAGTGACATTCGCCAAACCAATATTTTGCGGAAAAAACGTTACGTATTCCGAATATTACTTATTCTGATGACGACTTAATCCGGGGGTTCACTGTATTTTCTAATGCAGTGATTGGAAGTAAAGAATCGTAATATTAATCTTAATTACCATGAATGTCATGAGCCCAGGTAAATATACATAATTAAGAATGTGAATAAACATTTGGCTATACTTGAGAAACAAATACATACCTTCTTGCACTAACTGGAGAAGATCACCTTGTACAAATGTCAGTTCATCTGTGTCACTTGCATCATAACTGCAATAAAAAAATGACAGTACAGTACTGGTGATAACTGCTGAGCAAACAGATTGCATTCCTGGAAAAAACTGTTTGGTAAACCTGCAAAATCCATTTCCTCATTACTTTCCATTATAATACAGTGACACTGTATTTTATTGAAAATTTTGTTACCCTTAAAATTTCATGAAAAACTACTTATAAAATAATTTTACTAATTTTTCAGTGAAGAGGGCTGTAGTCTGAGGTAATGGACGACTACTGAATGATACACAATGAATTATGGTGAATGTACTTCCTCTTTCTTGGGGCATCACCCCATCTTGATGGGAGAGATCTAGTATGTAAAAAAAAAAAAAAAAAAAAAAAAAAAAAAAAAAAAAAAAAAAAAAAAAGTTTGTTTTGTAATAAATTCCAGCCAGCCTATGGCACTTTTCAACTGTAGTAATTAGGTTATTTCTTCCTTTTTAACACACCAGGTGTCCCCTGCCAGGGGTGAAAGACCCAGCCAAAGAAGAAAGCACTTTCACCAATATTCACTCAATTTTCATCTTTTCAGAAGTGTGCTGACATCACAATCAGATTACCCTTCTAACTATAACATTCCTACCCTTCCTTCAGAGTGCAGGCACTGCCCCTCCTACCTCCATGATTTAATCCAACTAACCAGCTTCCTTGAATTAAGCTTTTAAATTAGGCCTATAGTCCTATGGTCGATTGCGATAACTGCGAGCCAAAAATTATTGTTAGACAATTGATAGCCTATTTTAGGTGTAGTCACTATTCTTGGACTGTGTTCAGGTTACTGGCCTGGTGAATGATAAAAAATTAGCAATATGAAATGAGCCCATGACTGGTTTATACGGTGAACTGTGAGTGGCCCAGCAAGAGCTCACTTGGGTGCACTTCTTTTAAAATGGTTCTAATGGTGCTAATACAGAAAGTCCATAAAATTTTTTTAACAAAGAAGTTGACCGAGTCTAGTAAATCCACTAAGTTCTGTTTTTAATAATATTTTGTAGATGGTTTGATTCAGAGTTGTAATGATCTTCATTACTTTACAAAGTAATGAAGATCATCCTGGACATGCACTCATCAGTAAAAGTTCAACAGAGCACTGAAGCCAGTGTTGGTCCCGTAGTGTAATGCCATGAGCTCAGCTCACTCAGACAAGCAGTGAGTGATAAATTTGGGCCTAGATAAGAGAGAATAGGTCTATGCGCTAAGTGTGCGCCATATAGAATTTTCCTGCAGCATGCAGTGGATAATGAGAAAACACTGCGACCAAGTTTTTTATTTAAATACACCACTTTGTGGTGTATTTTCGTATGGTTTTTACAGTTGTATTCTCGGTTTCTTGGTCTTATTTGATAGAATGGAAGATATTTTACAGAAATAGAGATGATTCTGATTAGTTTCAAGACTGAAAGTAGCTTGAAACTGACCTCAAAGTAGTGGAAATGTTCAGTTTTTGCCAATATTCCAGAGTACAAAAATGACGTCACTTGTCCAACTGGGAAATCTAATACACATTTAGGAATGCTCTAATATTATTTGTACAATTATTACAATAATGCAGTAGTCTGCATAACAGTTTATCTTCTATTTCTTGTGTTTACCTGATGAGAGTTCCGGGGGTCAACACCCCTGCGGCCCGGTCTGTGACCAGGCCTCATGATGGATCAGCGCCTGATCAACCAGGTTGTTACTGCTGGCTGCACGCAATCCAACGTACGAGCCACAGCCCGGCTGGTCAGGTACCGACTTTAGGTGCCTGTCCAGTGCCTGCTTGAAGACACCCAGGGGTCTATTGGTAATTCCCCTTATGTATGATGGGAGGCAGTTGAACAGTCTTGGGCCCCTGACACTGTGTTGTCTCTTAGCATGCTAGTGACACCCCTGCTTTTCATTGGGGGGATGTTGCATCGTCCGCCGAGTCTTTTGCTTTCAGAGAGAATGATTTTCATGTGCAAGTTTGGTACTAGTCCCTCTAGGATTTTCCAGGTGTATATAATCATGTATCTCTCCTGCCTGCATTTCAGGGAGTACAGGTTCAGGAACTTAAAGCGCTCCCAGTAATTGAGGTGTTTTATCTCAGTTATGCGTGCTGTGAAGGTTCTCTGTACATTTTCTAGGTCAGCAATTTCACCTGCCTTGAAAGGTGCTGTTAGTGTGCAGCAATATTCCAGCCTAGATAGAACAAGCGACCTGAAGAGTGTCATCATGGGCTTGGCATCTCTAGTTTTGAAGGTTCTCAATATCCGTCCTGTCATTTTTCTAGCAGATGCGACTGATACTATGTTATGGTCCTTGAAGGTGAGATCCTCCGACATGATCACTCCCAGGTCTTTGACGTTAGTTTTTTGCTCTATTGTGTGGCTGGAATTTGTTTTATACTCTGACGAAATTTAAATTTCCTCATGTTTACCATATCGGAGTAATTGAAATTTCTCATCGTTGAACTTCATATTGTTTTCTGCAGCCCACTGAAAGATTTGGTTGATGTCCGCCTGGAGCCTTGCAGTGTCTGCAATGGAAGACACTGTCATGCAGATTCGGGTGTCATCTGCAAAGGAAGACACGGTGCTGTGGCTTACATCCTTGTCTATGTCAGAAATAAGGATGAGGAACAAGATGGGAGCGAGTACTGTGCCTTGCAGAACAGAGCTTTTCACCGTAGCCGCCTCAGACTTGACTTTGTTGACTACTACTCTTTGTGTTCTATTTGTGAGGAAGTTATAGATCCATCTACCCACTTTTCCTGTTATTCGTTTAGCACTCATTTTGTGCTGTATTACACCATGGTCACACTTGTCGAAGGCTTTTGCAAAGTCTGTGTATATTACATCTGCATTCTTTTTGTCTTCTAGTGCATCAAGGACCTTGTTGTAGTGATCCAATAGTTGGGACAGACAGGAGTGACTTGCTCTAAACCCATGTTGCCCTGGGTTGTGTAACTGATGGGTATCTAGATGGGTGGCGATCTTGCTTCTTAGGACCCTTTCAAAGATTTTTATGACATGGGATGTTAGCACTATCAGTCTGTAGTTCTTTTCTATTGCTTTACTGCCCCCTTTGTGGAGTGGGGCTATGTCTGTTGTTTTTAGTAACTGTGGGACAACCCCAGTGTCCATGCTCCCTCTCCATAGGATGTTAAAAGCACGTGATAGGGGCTTCTTGCAGTTCTTGATGAACACGAAGTTCCATGAGTCTGGCCCTGGGGCAGAATGCATGGGCATGTCATTTATCACCTGTTCGAAGCCATTTGGCGGCAGGATAACATCAGATAGGCTTGTGTTTACCAAATTCTGTGGCTCTCTCATAAAAAATTAATTTAGATCTTCGACTCTCAGTCTGGTTAGCGGCTTGCTAAAAACTGAGTCATATTGGGACTTGAGTAGCTCACTCTTTTCCTTGCTGTCATCTGTGTAGGACCCATCTTGTTTAAGTAGGGGCCCAATACTGGATGTTGTTCTCAACTTTGATTTGGCATAAGTAAAGAAATTCTTTGGGTTTCTTTCAATTTCATTTATGGCTTTTAGTTCATCCCACGATTCCTGACTCCTATAAGATTCCTTTAGCTTAAGTTCGATGTTTGCTATTTCTCTGACCAGTATCTCCCTACGCATTGCAGATATATTGGCCTCTTTTAGCCGCTCTGTTATTCTTTTCTGTCGCCTGTAAAGGGAGCGCCTGTCTCTTTCTATTTTACATCTACTCCTCTTTTTTCTTAAAGGAATATGCCTTGAGTATACATCAAGTGCCACAGAGTTAATCTGTTCTAGGCATAAGTTGGGGTCTGTGTTGCTTACTCTATCTTCCCAGCTTATATCATTTAGGACTTGATTTACTTGATCCCACTTTATGCTCTTGTTATTGAAGTTGAATTTGGTAAAGGCTCCCTCGTGACTGATCCCATTTTGTCGGTCTGGGGCTCCGTGCATACATGTCTGAACCTCGATTATGTTGTGATCCGAGTATATTGTTTTTGATATGGTGACATTTCGTATCAGATCATCAATGTTAGTGTAGATGAGGTCCAGTGTATTCTCCAATCTAGTAGGCTCTATTATTTGGTGGTTTAAGTTGAATTTTGTGCAGAGATTTGAAAGCTCGTATGTGTGTGAGTTCTCGTCTGAGCTGCCTCCTGGTGTTATCACTGCAACAACATTATTTCCTATATTCCTCCATTTTAGGTGCCAAAAGTTGAAATACCCCAGGAGCAAGATGTTGGGGGCAGGAGCTGGAAGGTTTTCAAGACAGTGGTCAATTTTCAAGAGCTGTTCCTGGAATTGTTGGGACGTTGTATCCGGAGGCTTGTAGACTATCACAATCTTTACTGCTAAAACTTCAACTACATCATTTGAGGCATTTAGCAGTTCTGTGCAAATAAGTGACTCTGCAATATTATACAGGCCAACCCCCCCCCCCTTTTGCCTGTTCACTCTGTTGCATCTGTTTAGGCTGTAACCTGGGACCCATATTTCATTGTCCAAGTGATCCTTTATGTGGGTCTCTGTGAAAGCCGCGAACATTGCATTTGCCTCTGCAAGCAGTCCACGGATGAAAGGTATTTTGTTGTTCATTGCTGGCTTCAGACCTTGTATATTTGCAAAGAAGAATGTCATTGGATTGGTGGTACTGGAGGGGACTTTTTTTCCGGCACTAATATCTGTATCTGTTGGTTTGGAGTGGAGGCCATTGACTGTGATTCCACTCCATAAATGACCAGATTTGGTGTACGATTTCTGCCATTTCCTGCCAGTCTTTTTTCCTTCCTGGCACTAAAAAACTTCGAAATGAAAAACAAGCATAATATAAGAGGGGCCTGAAGACATGACTAAGGAACAGAGGAAATGTTTTTTCAGTGCCAGGAATGCCTACATTGTTTATTCTGGACCCTATTTTCAAACTGGTAAGTGTTGAATTTTGCACGAAATTAGCTAAATTACTGATTTCTGATCACTTTATTGGTTGATTGAAATAGGCAAATGGTAGTTTCTTGTATTCAATTGATA